TCTTACCGACATTTAGCTGCAGAAAATTTACGATCATCCAGGCCTTTATAATAATAATACTCCTTGCATTTGATATAAAGCCTTATTACGTCTTTGAGACTTCTCAAAGCACTTCACAGAATATACTGTAAAGTGAATTGACTGTATATTTTGTGGGCGAAACATCATCAAAATATTTTGATGATCCTCAAGCCAGCTGACAGACAAGCAGACTGGCAGTCACAACTGGAGGAGAAGAAGTAGATTTGGGTGTCATCCGCATACATGTGGAAGTTGACCCTATGTCTGCAGATGTCATCACTGACAGGAAGCATGTAGATGAGGAAAAGAAGGGGGGCAAAGATGGGGCCTTGGGGTAATCCGCAGGTGACTAAGTGGCGACAGGAGGAAAAAACATTTCACAAGATGTCTTGTTGGCAGTTTGTTAAGTAGGACTCAAACCATAAGATTGCAGTCCCACTGAGGTGGATGAGGGAGGAGAAGCATTGGAGGAGGATGGCGTAATCGAACTCGTCGGAGAGATCCAGGAGAATGAGGAGGCAGAGGATACTCTGGTCACAGAGAAAGGGGGAACGGGAGGAGGATAGATCGGGCAAAGAAGTGTTGAGGGTGTGCCGTGGTAGGAGAGGGTGATGAAGGAAGCAACATGGGGGGTGTTGGGGGAAGGAGGAGGAGGCAGCCAGGCAGATGTTGTCTATCTTGCAGAACAGGATTTTGGGGTTGTTTTGGAATCGAGAATGACCTGTGAGTCAAAGGCGGTTTTGGCTTGAGAGAAGGAGTGACAGTAGGTGGGATTTGAGGGAGCAGGTTTGAGATCTGAGGGAGCGGAGATGATTGTTGAACCATGGAAAGAAGGTGGGCTTGGAGACGGACCTGGTTTTCAGGGGAATCAAAGAATTGAAAGTTGAGGAGACATGATCGTTCAGTGGCTTGATGGCTGCGTCTGGATCCTGCGGGTGGTAAACCAGAGGGAGGGAAGGTCCAAGGATGAGAGAGCGTTTGTGAGGGATTCGGGGTGGCGGGAGAAGCTTTTTCCATAAACGGAAAAAGATGGTGGAGGGCTTGAAGGAGGGGAAGGTGATATGAGAGACGAGGGAAATGAGAAAGTGGTCTCAGATGGCCTTGTCTGTGATAGTCAGATCAGAGATGCCACGGTTGTGGATAGGGAGTTTACATGGAGGGTTTAGGGTTGAGAGGAGGTCAGAGGAGATGGGGCAAGGGGAACAGAGATGAAAGTTGAAATTGCCTATTATGAAAGGCACTATACAAATATAATCTTGTTGTTGTATTATGAGCAACCATTTTGTGCAGAGGGACAGGTGAGAATGAGAGAAGTGAGGAGATATCTGCAAGGAAGGAGCCAGCAGCTTTGGGGGGATGGTAGAGGGTGAAGTGCTCAAGAGGGGAAACAGCCAGAAGAATAAGGGGATAGACCAAGGGCGGTTTTGGAGAATGAGGGCCCCCGATCGCCACTTAGAGTGTGTGGTGAGAAGGCTAACCAGGCGGGGAGGCTTCAACGAGGTGGACTGGGTCAGATTTCCGTGAGCCCATGCGTGTCTATTTGCTCCTCCAGGATGAGGTCATGGATTGTAATAGCTTTATTTGAGAGATAGCAGACATTTTGGAGGCCAATGCGAGTGAGGGTGCTAGTGGGGGAAGGTTGTAGATTGTGTGTGTGGGGGGAAACAAACTGTCCATTATGAGGGGGGAGAGTTGGAAAGGATGTGGATGAGAGAAGGTGGTTTGCCTGTCGGAGACAGGGGAGGCGGGCCTGGAGTAGGTGGGTGATGGGGCAGATAGGATGGCTGCCCTGGGACAACCATCACCGAGTGCCACTGTGAGCCTGATGGAAGATACCCAACCTGGAGCAGACGGAGGGTCCAGGAGGGAGAAAAGACAGGGAGAAGAGAAGGACTGAGTGGGAGTAACTAAGTAGGAACTGGGGCATTTTGGGAGGGGTCAGGGACGGCAGCCAAATGTTCATGCTGAGCCTGGGAGCAGAGCGATCAGTGGGGGATTGTCAGCCCGCAGAATTGACAAGAGTCTAGGGGACACAGCACAGAGGTAAGAGAGAGGCTCTCGTGGCTTTGTTTAGACTGAAGCCTTTTAAGAGATAAGTAGATTATTTGGGGAGAACAAGTTTGCAGGGCTATGGGGAGAGAGCGGGGGAGTGGGATTGAATTGAATAGTCTTTTCAAACAGCCGGCACAGACACAATGGGTCGAATGGCCTCCTTCTGTGCTGTATAATTCTATGATGCCAGAGAGTGAGTGGGAGGGTGTGGTAAAGGAGGGCAGGCAAGAAGTGAGGAACAGAAATAAAAAATACTTAGCCTGGAAGGTTTGAAATACAGCGTGTGGAAGTGACGTCATGTGGAGATTTTGAAATGGCGTCTCTGCGCCTGGGACCTCTGCCCCTGGAATACCGAAACCCTCGGACCTCGTGCTGGTCACTGCCTCGTTGACTCACTCGAGGTCTCCACTCTGGCCGCTTATTTGCTCACTCCTGGAGGCCTCGCTGCTGCACTCATCTCCCGCACTGACCTCGCGCCGGAATAACTCACTCGGTTTGCCCCACCGCTTCTTGTTACCTCTCGCCCGCTGGCCTCGAATCGGCTCCCGTGAGCGCTGTCCCTGGTCTGCTGCTCTTCTACGACGCCTCCCGGTTACTGTAACATTCAGCCACTCACATCACCTCTAAGTGAGAATTGCTTCAAGCCTCACGTTGGGATCTAAACGCACCTTGTCGTTTGACACTCCAGAATTGTCAGATATGTTGTCCTTTGGATGAGATGTTAAACCGAGGTCCTGTCTGCCTGTTCAGCTGGATGTTAAAGATCCCATGGCACTATTCTAAAAGAGAAGGTAGTTTCTCTTGGTGTCCTGGCCAACAATTCCCCAAAATAAAAGTGATCACTCACTCCATTTTGTGGGACATTACTGTGCACAAAATTTGCTGCCTCGTTCACCCACAAATGCCACCATTCCACTTTAAAATAAATCCTGTGAAGTGTTTTGGGACGTCTTACCTTTGTGAAAGTTGCTATACCAAATTCAACAACAATTTGTATTTACATAGCTCCCTTCACAGGGTAGCAGCTCACAATGTTTGCAAGGAGTATTATTACTACTATTATTATAAATGGATTCAGCTTGCAAGGTTGGTTAAAACAACAAACAACAACAACTTGCACTTATATAGTGCCCTCCACGCAGGGTAGTGTCTCAGAGCGCTTAACAATGGCAGAGCCTGACTCTGAGCCATAAGCACAGTTGAACAGGAAAGTCTTCAGGTGGGACTTGAAAGAGGGGAGAGAGGAGGCAAGGCGGAGGGATTGAGGGAGTGTTCCTGAGTTTTGGGGCGTAGATAACTTCTTACGATAGGATGAATATATGTCCCCGATTTCTGAAGGCAGTGCTCACTGAGGTATCGTGTCCGTGGCCAAATTTGCCGTGTCTCGAGTTCAGCAATAAAATGATCAAGTGTACAATAAAATTCTAAAACAGACACAATCATCAGAGAAATAACAGCCATTAATCCAACAAACCTCCCACTGGCGGGTGGGTCGGTCGGTAACCCGAGGACACCCATTTAAAATAGTTAAAAGAAACCGAGGGGAGGGGAGGGGAAACGGTTTCACACCGCGAGGTGTTCGGATCTGGAATACATCGGAAGGGCGGTGGAAGCCGATTTGATAACGATGTTTAAGAGAACAGATAATTATGTGGGAGGACAGGTTTCAGGGCTGTGGGGGGAGTGCGATTGATTTGGAAAAGCTCTTTCAAAGACACGATGGACCAAATAGCCTCCTTCTGAGCTGTATAATCCTATGATTGTATGAAGGTTCTCCAGTAACTGGCGGCATCAGGAATTGTGGTGAGTTGACTTTTTTTATATTTATATGTGTGTCCCCGGATTTGGTTTACAAAATAAAGTCACTCGATCTCATCGGGTCTTGTGATTCACGACAGGCCCAGGCCGCGCAGCCCGGCAGTGCCAGGAGCAAAGATGGCGGAGCAAGGTTCTAATAGTCACAGTTTGGCAGTGCGCATGCGCCCCTCGAAAAGGCGGGCCTTTCATTCTCGCGATAACAGAGCATTCTACTTAAGTGAAGGATTGTGGGAGTGGTTTCCTCTTTGTGCGGCAGCGGCTCCGGTGAGTGTGTGAGTGACTGAGCGCGACAGACAATCCGCTGCCATCCTGTGAAGTGGCCGCTCCATGAGCCCCAGGACAGCCGCAGGGAGCGAGCGAAAGCCTCCCCCAAAGTAAGGGGCGTTTAAAACCCCTCTGCACTGCGGCTCATTATAAATACTTGAGGTTCAAGTCGGCCTTGTGGCCGCGATGGCGGTGCCGCCGCCGCCCCCCACCAGCAGCTCCCGGCGGGAACCCATCACAGTTCAGCTTCTGTTTATGATCGGAGCAGTTCGCAGTCGGTCATATCCGGGGCCTGGACTTGGGATTGCGAAACGTTCGTGCAACTCGTGAGATGTTCCCCCGGGGGGTGGAGTGGTGTGTGGTGGAGTGGAGAGTGGAGTGGTGAGTGGTGGGTGGAGTGGAGGGTGGAGTGGTGTGTGGAGTGGAGTGGTGTGTGGTGGAGTGGTGTGTGGTGGAGTGGAGGGTGGAGTGGTGAGTGGTGGGTGGAGTGGTGTGTGGTGGAGTGGTGATCGGTGGGTACCGTTATGTCAGCACTGGAGTTTACAAAATCGAGTGTAATCTGTTGGGATTCCTGTTCTCCTGTTTGGTGTGAATCGTATTATGTTAAATTGCTTCAAAACTAAAACCTATCGCAAGTGAATTGAAAATGGAGATAAGAACTTGCGTTTGTGCAGCGCCCTCACCACACGGAGGGAGGGCGGCTCTGTGCGCGCATTACACTGTATTCTCAGATGGTGTTTTAATATTTGTCGTCAATAATTTTGTAGAACTTTTGGCGATCTTTAGGGTTTTCCATCGTTAGGGTTTTCCATGTTCCTATTTTACTTGTAGTTTAAATTTCTCTTCCCAGTGGTAAGTCAGCTGTCCAGTGCTGGGTGGTGCCTGAGTCAGTGTTACACTGCTGGGAGATGAAGGTGCTACTCTGTTAGTCTGGCCGTTGCTGTCACTGTTCTGGTGATGGCTCAGGTCAGGCCGGGTTAGTGCCGTGTATCTTTTGAGAGTGGACCACCAACAATTCAATGGTGGTTCCTAGTTTCGATGCATACATAACAATTGCCTCAAATGTTTTTCGGCAGCTGGTTGTCTGACACATGTGGAAACCCAACATCATGCTTGAGAGTATCCAAACAAGACCAATAGTTCCAAATATATATGCCACCAATGCTTGGAAATTTTCCTGTGTCTAGAAGAGAATGTACACGCAACAACTTGCACTTATATAGCGTCCCTCGTGCAGAATAGGATCCCAAAGTGCTTCTAATGGCCATGTTTACCTAGGTCCTTATCTTATGTAATTGCTGTTAACTTCTGATAACTCGTCACTCTGAAGGAAAAGGGATCAGCAGCTAGTTATCCGGGCCCACAAGGGGAGCTATGACTGGTGTGGGCACTCGGCGGAGTCGGGCAGCATGCTCAGATGCACGTGGAAGTAGTGCAATGTGTATCCTATAGGATGAGTTATCTGAAGTAAGTACTTACAAGAATTTCTAGAATACAACTAGTTATGAGTAAAGCACAGCCCTTTGTTAACACTCTATATGGGAAGTGGATGGCATATTGACAGCCTGTCTACTTAAGTGCTAGTGACAGGGTCTTGTTATCAGGAGTTTACCATATTAACTAGGTCGGTGAGAGACCAGACTTGGGGGACCTGGAGTGTACATTGAGGTAATTAAAGTAATAACAATAATCCTTCCATTTGATATAGCGCTTTTGCATGTCTTTTGTGAGACGTCACAAAGTGCTTCACAGAATATACTGTAAAGTGAAATTGACTATAATTGTACAGTATATATGGTAAGTTGTCCTAAATACTCAAGAAACGTCAGTATTGTTGTGTGGGAGGTTTGGTGTTTACAGTGAGTTGAATGTCTTGAATTGTAGTGCTGGGTTTAGCCAAAGAACAAAACCTCTGTTGCTAATTTTCAGTTTGAAAACGAAAGTTTTTATGCTCGATTTACTGAAATATGGGGCATGTGTGACTTACTGAGCTGAATGGTATGCGGATGACACCAAAATCTACTTCTCCAGCTGTGACGCTGATATCCGGTCAGCCTTTTCGATGGACATTAAGGCCTGGATGAGTGCAAGTTTTCTGTAGTCTGTACTATATATCCTTTTTCCAGAGGTAATAAGCCCTTAATTTTTTAGTAAATTATTAAAATAATAATAATTTGATCACTCAGTGGGACACTGCTTTGTGCAATTGGCTGCTGTGTTGTACCCATAAATTATACAATTCACGTTATAGTATATTTTGTGAAGCACTTTGAGACATCTCGATGACGTGATCAGGCACTATCTAAAATGCAAGCAGTATTATTGTTATAATAAAGGTGCTCTGTAATCTCTCCAGCAGGACTTTCGGGGCTCAAAATTAAGAACCTGGAAGAGCATTTGTATGCAGCACGAATCTCCAGCATGAAAATCCCTTGCTGGTGGAGGTAGGTTGAGATTTTCATGATCACCATGGAAATTGTGTATAACTTGTGATTTGTATGTATGCTGTGTTGTAGATTTTTGGAAGTCAGCAGCAGCCTCATGCTCAGTGCTGCAAAGTGCCTGGAATTGTGGTTTACTGCTAGGAGGAATCGGATATTCAGTCAGTCTGGTACTGAATGTAGGTGTCTTGCTTAAAATGGATTGATACCTGTGTCTGTGGCATCATTCTTAGTCTGTAGGCAAACAGTAAATCCAGACTATTTTATAGTGGCTATTTGCGGTAGGGCTTTACCTGTGTATAATCTGGAGAACACTGGTCTCCTGTGCCTTGTTCCTGATGCTAATATTTCAAGTTTGAATCAGATGCAAGTTGTGAGTGTGCCAAGCTTTACCGGGCTCAGTCTGTCGTATGCCTTTTTGCTTCCAATTTTTTTAAACTAAGTTGATTACAACCAAGCCTGACACTGATCATCCATACAAATCTCCAATTCGGGTCTCTGGGTAGTGAACAGGAGCATAACCTGGGATCTGAGTGCATTAGTAGAAACTTTCCAGTGTTGCACTGAGTCAGATCAGTTGATCCTTGCAGACCATGGACTAAACCAGGGATGTTCTGCTCTTGTATAGCAACTCAGTGAAGAGACTTTGCACCATTGGGGATATATATATATATAATGTAATATATAATATGTATATGCAATATATCAACAACATTTATATAGCACTTTTCACATGGGGTGGTGTCCCAGAGTGCTTTCAAAAGGTTATAATTCATCTTTGATTGTTGTTCATTTTCCTGGATATCACCTGCTATGTGTATGTGTGGTTGACTTCTAACTGACATGTTGGCAGTAGAAAGACTTCCCTTTGGACTAAATTACAAATTTATTAAATCAACAGGTTCTGCCTGTCACTGAAGGAATCAGCCTGCAGAATGGAATTGTGTGGCAGGAGAAAGCCACTAGATGTTGTTTGCTCAGAAGGCGGAGGTTGAAAACGAAAGGTAATCCATTTTCAGGCCTGATGCACTTCTGAAATAGTGCAATTGGCAGTATCCTCTGGTTCAGTATACAAGTTTGAGTTGGTGTGTTATGTGTGCTTTTATAGGAGACATGCTGTTTATGGGGGAATAATATTTGACACTTCTCACCAAGTTCAGTGTTTGCTGAGTATTTATTTCCAGCTGGGTGAAGAGGTGACTGGATTGGCATTTTGCAAAAATAAATTAGCTGTCAGTCTTGTTTAGCGTAGGATAGTTGAACGTACCAAGTCTGTACTATCACGGCATAGGCCTGTCCTTGCCGTGACCATCAAAACTTGGGAGATTGTACAACAGGCCTTTGGCACAGGCTGACGTGGCCTTTTCCCCCACAACCGCCTGACTAGAAGATCTGTGACACATGCACATAATAATAATAATCCTTGCATTTGATATAGTGCCTTATCGTGTATTTGAGGTGTCTCAAAGTGTCTCACAGAATACACTGTAAAGTGAATTGACTACATTTGCGGGGCAGGCTCGAGGGGCCGAATGTCCTGCTCCTAATTCTTATTTTGTGAGCGAATCGCCTTACATCTCTTATATTCTCTGCCTTCTGCAAGATCCAGAATATGCTGTTCAAAAGTATGGTGGACAATCTGCACTGACTTTTGCAGCCTATTTGTGTTCAGTAAATGGCTATTTTAAGGTATATGTGTCAGGTGCTCTGGTGATTTGAACTTAGATGCACATTGTTTACACAGAATTTAAACTACTTCCCTCCTCCAGGCTTCGTGACCACATCACTCCCACCCTTACTCGCCTCCACTGGCTCCCCATCCCCCAGAGGATCGAATTTAAGATCCTCATCCTCACCTACAAGGCCATTCCCGGCCTCGCTCCCTCCTACCTCTCCGACCTACTATCCCCCTACCTACCTGCCCGTACCCTCCGTTTCTCTGGCTCCGGTCTGCTCCACATCCCCCGCCCCAACCGCCCTACCATCGGTGGCCGGGCCTTCAGCCACGAGGCTCTGGAACTCCATCCCCCAGTGCCTTCGCCGCTTCCTCCCTTTCCTCCTTCAAGGCCGGTCTCAAGACCTTTCTCTTTGACCGTGCCTTCAGCTCCCCTCTCGACTCTCTACCCCCTCCTCGCTCCCTCCCTTCCCCCCCTCACCCTGACCATTTCCCCCCAATGCTCGGGACCTGACCCAACTGTCCAGTGCCTTAGGACATCCTCCCGATGTGAAAGGCGCTCTATAAATGGAATCTTGTTGTTGAGTGCTTTATTTCTGAGCTGTCTGAATAGTCAATTTATGAGCACAGTCAAGTAACCATAATGACCTTGCCATCTAGTTTAGTTGTAAACTCGTAATTAAATCAACCAATAAAAGAAATGTTGAGGTTTCTCGGTGTGGACAGGGACTAGTTAGTTAATGTTTTATTTTATTTCAGGTGAAATTATAATGGAGACCACAGCTAAATGAAGCAACTTCTAATGGGTTTAAAAATTCGCCCAAGTTTGTCGATTGTGAATAGTGGCAGCTAATCCTGCTCTACCTGGCATGTGAGTATTATTGTAATTAATGGGACTAGTTGATGCATTGTGAAGTCTGTCAGTGAGGTGGGGCTTTGTCTCTTTAGAAGCTGCACAATGTGCTTCAATTTTGTGGGGTGGTAGGGGAAATGACCAGAAGTCGGTATGAATCCAGTGTCCGGTTCAGATTCAGACACGCCAAGGATTTACTGCATTCTTACTCTACATTCTTGTAGGCATCTATCACTCGGGATGAAAACAGTAGTGCATACTTGTGATGAAAGTAGCATACTACTTTTGACTTCTATTCATGGAACTCTGCTATATTTGGTGTCCCCTTTTAAACAGGGGTCAGCATGTTTGTTAAAGCAAGAATTCTGAATGCTTCTTTTGTTTTCTGCAGCATTTGGGGATGTTCAACACCTCACGGAAGAGGCAGGAAATGGAGCTGGTTGGATATGTGAATGTTGTTGCTGTTCTATAGTGTTGAACTGTTAAACTGAGTGAATTGCCCTGAGTATGCTGTTCACTGAAATGTTTGAGGTGTGCAAAGTTCTACGTGGGAATTACGTAAAAGCTGTTGTGTCTGTTCAGAGACTGCTGCGTGTCAATGTTACTGTATAGAAAGCCAAGTGCAGCCTGTCTGTATTCTGTCACTTTAAAAAATAAACAAAAGAGTTCTGTTTAAATGTGACCTTGTTAAATGATGTCGCTGGCCACATACCTATTATCCATCTGGCTCTGTTGGCAGCACACTCACTTCTGACTCAGAAGGTTGTGGGTTCAAGCGCCACATATGGAAGTAAGTGCATAATAGTGTAACAAGTTAGGAGATGATCAATATGACTAGTGGAAAGAATTAGTTTAAGTGGTTTTGATAGTATACTGAATGGGATTTGGGTGCATGTATGACTTGGGTGATTATACAATTTATAAAGATAACACTTATACAAGTTTTACTGTAATTGTTTGGAAAACCAAATGCCCGATGTACATGGAAACTCCTCATCAAGCTCAAGTGTGCAAAACAGACATGTGTTCCATGTATTCATGCCATGTATACAAGGAAATTTCCCCATATCCTCAGAGGGTTTGGACTTGAATTATTAATTCATGCTCAGTAGGAATAAATCCAGCCCCCGATGTACAGCTCTGACCCTCCCAAGTCCTGCTGATGAGGTGGCTCATCTACAACAAAAACAACTTGCATTTATATAGCGCCCTCCATGCTGGACGGTGTCTCGAAGTGCTTAGTAGTTGCGGAGCCTGATGCCGAGCCAAGGGGAGGGGGAAGGTGACCGTAGGTACAGTTGAAGAGGAAGGTCTTCAAGCGCGACCTTAAAATGGGGAGCGAAGAGATTGAGGGAGAGTTCCACAGCTTCGGGATGTAGTAGCTGAAAGCACAGCCACCGACAGTAGCACGCTGTGAAGGGATTGAAATACAAGAGTGAGGATCTTGAAATTGAATCTGCTATGTGACGGAGCAAATAAGAGTTTGACAAGGACTGGGGTGATAGAGGTATGGGGTTTAGTGTGGGTGAGAATGCGGGCGGCGGAGTGTTGAATTTTGTGAATAGTGGAGCAGGGGAGACCAATGAGGAGGGTCTTTGGGCAGTCAAGGCGGGAGATGATGAAGACATGAACAAGAGCTTTGGGAATGAGATATGGACGGAAGTGGGCAATGTGGCGCAGGTGGAGGTCCTGGCCAGGGACCAGGTGAGTGGAGCTGAGATAGCTGGGAATTGAACCTGACCCTAAGTTGCTTACGGGTTTAGTGAGTCGGAGAGGGCGTGGAGGTCTGTACTGCGGGAACATCAGTGAACTGGGAGCTGGAGGAAGAAAAGTAGATTTATGTGTCGTCCACATACATGTGAAAGTTTACCCCGTGGCTGCGGATGATTTTGCCGAGAGGGACCATGTAGATTAGGAAGAGGAGGGGGATGAGCATGGAGCTTTGGGGTACTCTGCAGTTGACCGGGCGGGGGTGAGTAGAAAAACCATTGACATAAGATGAAGTGCTGGCATTTGTTTCTGAGTAGGACTCGAACCACACGAGTGCAGTCCCATTAAGGTAGATGAGGGAGAGGCGTTGGAGGAGGATGGCGGCGTGATTGACTATGTCGAACGCAGTGGAGAGTTACAGGAGCACAAGGAGGCAGAGGGAGCCATGTTTCTGATAGGAATTTTCAACATAACACATCTTTGCAGCTTTTACAAAATCTTACCAATAAATGAGTATAACTTTGTGTCCTGGCTGTAAAAATTGAGGTGTGAAAGGATTCAACTCTGAACCAGCCCATGTGGAGTGCCTGGTTACTGATTTAAATGGCTTTAAGGCCAGCTTCATTCCGGAGTCCAAATCCTGAGCCTGTTGTGTTTAATCCATCTGCTTTAAATAAAATTTACAAATTATCCATTTTGATGCTTGGCTGCATAAATTCTGGTGTTTTTTCCAGTGAGTTAACTGGGATGGAATGATCCACCTTAGTATAATACACATAATGACCATTAATGTTGTCATTTGGATTGTACATGGAGTTCTTGATTTTAGCAATCTTGCCTTCTCCATTGTAACTTATGCTGTCTAACATGCTTGACAGGACTGTGCAAAGCCTTTATCCTGCATCTAACTTGCGCCATACTACCCTGAGTGCTATAGGTCAGTGGTTAGAGTACTCAAGCGAGAGGTTCAGTTCCAGTAGGGCAAAACCTTGGGAAAGTTTCCTTACTCCACATGCCTGATAATAATCCCTCAAGGAAAAAAAAGGGTAATAAATTGGTCATTTAATCCATGACTGTTTGTGGGACATTGTTGTGCGCAATTGGCTTTCGCATTTTGCCCACAAATATACAGTCAATTCATTTCACAGTATATTCAGTGAAGCATTTTTAGATGTCTAGAAGATGTGGAAAGCACTATCAAATGCAAGGATTATTATTATTATTTATCCGGCCTAAGCAGCATCTAGCTTGGGAGAGGCAATGTGAAAGTCTTTCATTGTAGTGTGCTCTGCACGTTGCTGAAAGCAGTGCTGAGATATATTTATATGCATAAACACCTGTCACAAATTTGGTATTTTATACCCAATGCGTCTGTAATTAGAGTTGGGAGGACAAAACCAGTATCCTGTTTATATTAAATTTAAAATACACACTTCTTGAAATAACTTAAAAATATTTAATGCACACAAGCATATATTTTGATGACACCCCAAAGCCTTAATTTAAGTTGGAGTCATAATACATAAAATGTATTATGTAATACATAAAATGACACTTACGGTTTGAACAGACGGTGTGAGCTGACCTACTTGTTTGTTACAAGTACCTTCCAAGCTGCAACTCTGCTGCCTGCTCAAACACCTAGTGTTTTATCCCCTTGTGAGATCCCCTTGTTATCCTCTCACAATCATAATACACAATCATGCAGAGGATAAGTTTCCATGTAAATCAGACCTCTTTCAGACAACAACATAGAATCAGAATTATACAGCACCGAAGGAGGCCATTCAGCCCATCGTGTCTGTGCCGGCTCTTTGAAAAGAACTAACCAATTCAATCCCACTTCCCCGCTCTCTCCCCATAGCCCTGCAAACTTGTCCTCCCCAACATCCTTTAACAGTTTCTGCTATCTGTAGGGTGTAAATGACCAATACAATGCAAACAATAAAGGCAGCCTTTAAACAAATTTGCAGGTTCCCTGGTCATGACTTCACCACTGCCACAAGTCCTATGTACTCCCTGCCAAGAACCGAAGTCTGGGCCCTCATGCTGATATGCAATTCAACAACAACTTGGGTTTATGTAGCACCCTCCACTCCAGACAGTGTCTCAATTCAATGCTGTAGTGGCATTGTCAGCAATTCCAAGTCTAGTATCAACTTGTAGCTGGAAAAACACTTGGGCAAAGAATTAGGCTCTGTTCATTACCCCATCTCACTATTCCAGGTCACTGAGACCACTTGTATTGCTCTCCCAGCTGAGGTCACTTAAATCAAAAATTGAGCTGACTTGGTCTGTATGGTTGATACTTTAATTTAGATTTATAGTAATAATTGAATTTGATATCTTGTCTTTCACATACTGAGGACATCTCAAAGTGTTTCACAGTGAAAACTGAAGTGTAGTCACTTTTTTGTAAGTAGTGACATTTTAGTACAAGATGACCCAGCAATTAGGCTCCACTGCTTCCTCATTGCAGATAGTCCTGTTTTGTTCAAAGATTCAATAAATGTTTGTTAAATTCCACAAGAAATCTTATCTACTTCTAGTTCGTATTTTTGTTCTAATCTCTGATTCTCCTGCTGGCTGGCTTTGAAATCAATGCTCAATGCTGGGCTTTTTGCATTGAAATGTGTTGTTATGAATTCTGATCAGTATATCAGATAAGGGGGGGCAGGGACAAAACAAGAGCATTTACTCCTAAAATGAGTGCATGTATATACATTTGTTTTATGTATTGTTAAATGTAAGATTGCAACCTCGGGGTCAGATTTGATGGACCGTTCACCATGTATCTGATCCCATTTTAGAGTACAAATGGTCACCTTCACAATATTACAATGCCTGACTTCTTTCTTATTTGGCAAAGTGTTACCAATTTCTATCCTAATCAGAAATCTGAATAAATTTTACAAACAGAAAATTTTCAGATTTCCTCTCCCTCTTTCCAACCAACTTTTGAATGCAATCGCCACCTTTCACTTTGTATAATGTCACATCAACCAAAATTGTCTCTCCAGCTACTCCGATCTTCCAGTGCAGTGCTGTCACTCGTGTTTTCTTATCCCATTTGTTACTTCTCAACCAATCTTTGACACACTCTAAAACTCTCATCAACTAACTTCAATTCTTGGTCTAAGACCAGCTCCTCTACCGATCCTTATTTTCTCTACTCTCCAATCCTTTACCCCCTCCAACACCACTAATCTCATTTTCTAATCGCACCACTGCATTAACAATTGACTTCCTCAGTTTCAGTAGTGATTTTGTTTGTTTTAACTATTTGCTTCAGGCAATGCCTCTTTAACATACCAGTGTAAAAGAAATGTCTTGCACTTCTTTACAAGCCAAAACTTAAAAATGAAATGAGTGCCATGTCGCCTTATAGCAGTTAATTTGAGTTTTCCTCTGACCAACAAAAAGCAATGGTGTGACTACATACATAAGAGAGAAGGAAATATAGTGTGTGGTGGGGTAGTGGGGGGGGTGGGTTGGGGGAGATTGAGATTAGAATGGATAGAGGTTCATGTGCAGTATAAACACTGTCATGGGCGAATTGAGCCGAATGGCCTTTTTCAATGTATATATTGTGTAATTGTATGAGTAGCCAATTAGTTTGGATAAGGACAACAAAATTTAAAGCCAAGAGGAAAATATTTCATTGAAATATTGGAAAGCGTTTTCTTAATCCACATGAAACACAAAGAAAACTGTGTCCGTTATCTGTATTTTATTTCCTCCAAGCGTAACAACAACAACCTGCACTTATATAGCACCCTCCACGAAGGGTAGTGTCTCAGAGCGCTTAATAAATTACTGCTTGCATTTGACCTGTCCGTTTGCACGTGTAACAGTGAGATGTCTCAAAGCTTTCACAGATAATTGCTGTCAAGTGTAGTGGTGCTATTTGTAGGCAATTTACACACAACAGTGTCCCCTGAATATTGGTAGCCGGGTCACTGGAAGAAACTCCCTTCTCTTTTCAAATAGTGTTATGGGATCTTTATTATTTACTAGATAATAAGTCACCATCCTCATCCTCCTGGGTGAGGGCAAATTTCCTACAGTTGAATGTGAACAAGACTGAGACCCTCCTGATTAGCTCGCGCCAGCACCTCAGGCTCTGGGAGCATCAACCTCCATGGTTGCTCACTTCAACTCACCAGCCAGTCAGGAACCTAAGTGTCTTTTTCGACCCTCAACTGTCTTTTCTTCCCCACATCCAAGCCATGACCCGCTCTGCCTTCCCTCACCTCCATAACATCGCCCAACTCCGCCACTACCTCACCCCTCAGGCCGCTGAAACTCTTGTTCATGCCTTCATCACCTCCAGGCTCGACTATGCAAACCCCCTGCTTGTTGGCCTTCCCAACTCCTCCCTCACAGGCTGCAGATAATCCAGAACTCTGCAGCCCGTGTCCTCTCCCGCACGAAACTCTGTGACCCCATTCTCGCCCGACTCCATTGGCTTCCTATCCTTCAGAGGATCCAGTTCAAGATCCTGGTCCTCATGTACAAAGCCCTCTATGGCCTCGCCCCACCCTATCTCTACGACCTCCTAACCCCCTACCAACCCGCCCATTCCCTCCGCTCAGCCGGCTCCGACCTGCTCCACGTCCCTGACCCACCCGCCCCACCACTCTGCCCCCAACCACTGGAATTCCATCCCCCAGTCACTCTGCCTCACCCCCCTCCTTAGCCTCCTTCAAGTCCCGCCTCGACCATGCCATCGGCCACCTCCTTCCCCTCCCCTCCTTTCTCCCCCCACCCGACCCCAGCTTGGGTCTGAAATGCTGTACACTGTCCAGCGCCTCGGAACGTCCTCCTGACATGAAAGGCACTACACAACTGTAATCTTGTTGTTATTGTAGAGCAGATGCTTTAAAGTCTCACCTGAAGGACAGCAATGACAAACACTTTCTTCCCAGCACTGTACTGAAGTATCAGCCTAAACCAAGCTTCAAAGGCAGTGAGAGGCAGCTGGAAAGGTGGAGAATTTCAATGGACCAGGATGATAAACTTTCTCTGCTCCCTTCCCAACAACACTAATTTGCACCGGGTTGCTGTTGCTTAGCCACTGGCTCTGTGCCACCTTATTTATAGAAAGCAAATTGTAGCGCCTTTACCAAGTCGAAACATCTTAAAGTGTTTTACATAATTATTATTGTCTAGTGCGGAGCATTTTGCAGGCAAATAAGGAAATTATTTAGCGCACAGCAAAGTCGATACATGGACATGAGATCAGGATTGTTCTTTTTTGCAGGACACTGGGAGAAGCTGCCTTCTCTTTTTGAATAGTGTCTTATGATTTTTTCACATTCACCTGAAGATTGGGCAGATCCCACCTCAGTTTCACATATGTGCATGCAACTGCCAGGAAGGTGGAAGGGAACTAGATGGATATGGTCGTTTTTCGTCTAGGTTTCCTATGTTCATCTGAACGATTGCATTTCTGACAATGCAGCGATGCACTAGATTGTCAAGCCTAGGATATGAGCATTTCCTTTGAGTAACCCACATTGCTGAGGCACAGGCATCCAATTATGGAACCTCAAGATTTAGTTAGAAAAATCATAATCCTTACATTTGATATGGCACCTTTCACGTCAAGAGGACATCTCCAAAAAATGTAACTGCATACACTGTAAAGCATAGTGACTGTGTATTTGTAGGTAAATGGTGCAGACAATTTGAACACAGCAATATCTCGCAAACAGCCAAGAAGTGAATAATCAATTTTATTTTGGGGATTGTTGGCCAGGAAACTTGGAGAAATTCCCTTCTCTTTTCAAATTGTGCCAAAAGATCTTTAACATCCACCTGCACAGGCAGCCCAGCACCTCAGTGTAACATCTAAGCCATAGCAACACCTTCAACAATGCAGCACTGCACTGGAGTGTCAGTCTGGACTGTGAGTTCAAAGTCCCAGTGTAGGATTTGGAACCCACAACCTTCTGACTCAGAGTGCTGCCAATTGAGCCAGGCCAACATAAAAATAATAATCCTTCCATTTGATATGGCACCTTATCACGTCTCGAAATAGCGGCAATGTAAAGAGCAGATTAGCATTATTATGATACTGATATTTAGCAAACAGGGCTTTCTTTGTACAACAATATCAGAATAACTGAGAATATAACCAGATGTTCTGTAACCAGAAATATTATTTTCAAAGCTGTTTAGAAAAAGTTTCTTGTGATAAATAAATAATTTGGTCACTCAATCCACAATTGTTTGCGCAATTGGCTGCCGCGTTTTGCCCACAAAATATACAGTCAATTCACTTTACAGTGTATTATGTGAAGTGCTTTGAAATGTTTCAAAGACATGGTTAAGGTGCTATATCAAATGCAAGGATTATTATTGTATTCTGTGAAGCTCTTTGAGACGTCTCATTGATGTGAAATGGTGCTAACTCTGTGGGGGGAGGGTCAGCCGTGTGTCTGACACATGCGGAAACCCATCACCATACTTCAGACTATCCAAACCAAACTGAGAATTCAGTGCGTCCCACTTGCACATTACTATCAAAGCTGTTTAGAGAGAAGTTTGTTGTTATTTTCCATGGAACGTGTGGCTGATGTGGCTTTAAGCTTCCGGCAGAGGGCGGCAGCAGAGGGCTCGCACCGGGTTGGTAAAAAGTTTGTGGCTCCTCGGGCTGGTGTGACAGTGAGCTCAGGACTGGGGGCTGTCTGCCCTGCCCTGCCCTGCCTGTCTGCCCTGCCTCTCTGCCTGCCCTGCCTCTCTGCCTTCCTTGCCCTGCCTGCCTGCCCTGCCTCTCTGCCTGCCCTGCCTCTCTGCCTTCCTTGCCCTGCCTGCCTGCCCTGCCTCTCTGCCTGCCCTGCCTCTCTGCCTTCCCTGCCCTGCCTGCCAGCCCTGCCTCTCTGCCCTGCCTCTCTGCCTGCCCTGCCTCTCTGCCTCCTCTCCCCTGCCTGCTCTCCCCTGCCCTGCCTGCCTGCCTCCCTCCCTCCCTGCCTGCCCTCCCCTGCCTCCCTGCCTCCCTCCCTCCCTGCCTGCCTCCCTGCCTGCCCTGCCCTCCCCTGCCCTCCCTGCCCTGTCTGCCCTCCCCTGCCTGCCTGCCCTGCCTGCCCTCCCCTCCCTGCCTGCCCTCCCCTCCCTGCCTGCCCTGCCCTCCCCTGCCCTCCCTCCCCTGCCTGCCCTCCCTGCCCTCCCCTCCCTGCTTGCCTGCCCTGTCCTCCCCTGCCCTCCCTGCCCTGTCTGCCCTCCCCTCCCTGCCTGCCCTGCCCTCCCTGCCTGACCTCCCCTCCCTCCCCTGCCTGCCCTCCCCTGCCTGCCCTCCCCTGCCTGCCCTCCCCTGCCTGCCCTGCCCTCCCCTGCCTGCCCTCCCCTGCCTGCCCTCCCCTGCCCTGCCCTCCCCTGCCTGCCCTGCCCTGCCCTCCCTGCCCTGGCACAGGGCATCACAGTGCCTGTGCTCTCTCCGCTCACCAACAGCAGTCACAGCCTCAGAGACAGAAATACACTTTGACTTTTAGACAGAAAAAGAAAATCCTCAAAGAAAGGCACTCCTCAGGTCTGATAGTGACCGCGAAACTATCGCTAAAAGTGGGACATTTTCGGGATCGCCCCCCGACACCACCGTGTTTTTGGGCGGTGTTTATTGTGATCTTTCTCTGACAGTGGTCAAACATACTTTCTTGAAGCTTTTCCCGTGTCCGGGAGTTGGTGTTTCCATCCGCTTTTGTATCGGTTTCCTGGAGTCGGACCGCGGGATCCGCTTCACTGTGACCGTAACATGAGGACTTGATGGGAAAACGCCTGAAGTGGTGGAGCGGTCAGTGCGGTGAGTGTCTGCCATCGGCCCTCAGGGCGACAGCGGCTGTGAAACCTGAGGGACAACTTACAGACAGAGAGCGGAGGACCCGAGAGAGGGCACAGAGAGGGGGAGAGAGGGAGAGGGGCACAGAGAGAGGGCACAGAGAGGGGGAGAGAGGGAGAGGGGCACAGAGAGAGGGCACAGAGAGGGGGAGAGGGGCACAGAGAGAGGGCACAGAGAGGGGGAGAGGGGCACAGAGAGAGGGCACAGAGAGGGGGAGAGGGGCACAGAGAGAGGGAGAGAGGGGCACAGAGAGGGGGAGAGAGGGAGAGGGCACAGAGCGAGGGAGAGGGGGAGAGTGGCACAGAGAGGGGGAGAGGGGCACAGAGAGAGGGCAGAGGGAGAGGGATACAGCGCACACAGAGGGAAAGAGAACAAAGTTACTACAGCAGCAAAGGGAACAAATCAGAGAGCGCCTCAGAGACAGTTAATAATAATAATAATAATAGTTAAGCAGAAAGAAGGGGAATCCTGAGTTGTTGCACTTGGTTTCTGATAACTTATTTCATTGCTGAAATGTCTGATCGGTATTAATCTGCCCCTCTTGGCTAAGTGTGGTGAGACTCTTAACGATAATAATACAATAATAATCCTTGCATTTGATATAGTGCCTAATCACGTCTTCGAGACGTCTCAAAGCGCTTCACAGAATATACTGTAAAGTGAATTGACTGTATATTTGTGGGCGAAACGCGGCAGCCAATTGCTCACAGCAGTGTCCCGCAAACAGTCGTGGGTTGAAGTGACCAAATTATTATTGGGTTTTTTCTTGAGGGATTATTATCAGGCGATATAGCGCCTTATCACATTGTTGAGACATCTCAAAGCACTTCACAGAATGTATTGTGGAGTGGATTGACTGTATTTTGTGGGCAAAACGCCTTACGATAGTTTTTATGCATAATTTTTATGCCTGGAGCTGGAAAATCACATTCAAAGGTTTAAATACAGTAAAACTCATGTAAGATTGATCTGTATAAATCGTATAGTGGCCCAAGTCGTACATCTGCCCAAGTCCCATTCAAGAGTTTATATTCTATGCAAGTTTGACATAACTCATACTTTGCATAATTCGTATTAAATGTATGGGGTCCCATCTAATACAACTCATGTAAGGTTTTCTGTATTTACAAAACAAAGTTAATTTAAATAATCCTGATATAAAGTTTTTTCCCTGTGGATCCAGAAATATTGTAACCAACTGAGAATTGAAATCCAGGCTTTGTTGACAGTTTCTGTGTCTCACCTCTTTTCCATGTGCATAGTAAAGACCGATCACTTTTCTTGTATTTGAATCCACCAATATTAAGGAAAAATAACTTTGAAACTACAGTTACGTGATTTTTTTTCCAGACAGGGCTGGGTTACAGCGAGAGTGAACATATTTTTTCTATGAACAAGATATTCATAAACGTCTATATTAGAGGGTGTTACATAAAAGCCTCCAAAAAGCTTGGTTTCCTCTTTCATGCCAATCAACAACTCTGGAGTCGTGGAGTCCTTTAGCTTAAGTGATTAGACCACTCGCCTTGCAAGCAAGAGGACCTTGGACAGGTTTCTTTACTCCACAAGCCTCTGCTTACCTAGCAGTAAGTAGAAACCTAGTTGTTAGTTGATTGGTGGAGCACTTTTCTCTGAGTAATAAACTCTCAAAAAAATCAATAATAATTTGGTCACTCAATCCATGACTGTTTGTGGGACACTGCTGGGCGTGATTGCCTCCGAGTTGTGCCCACAAAATATACAGTCAATTGACTTTACAGTATATTCTGTGAAGCGCTTTGAGACGTCTCGAAGATGAGATAAGGTGCAATATCAAATGTAAGGAATATTAGTAACTCTCTGTAAAACCCAAGTTCATCTAAGACTTAAACATTGTTCCCATATCTGGGAGGCTTTTTTCATGCACTGTTGAAGAGAATACAAGAAAAGGCTTGTGTGATAAGTGATCCTTCCCTTACATTTGGCCATCTTCCAGCTTCATTGCAATCTCCAAATATCAATGTCCATTCTATTTCCTCCCCGGTTTCAATCCCATTTGCTAACATATTCTTCATCTTCACTGCATTCTCACTGTTAAACATCACAACCCACCCTTGCTTAACTCGATCTTTCACAAAAAACTAGTATTCCTTACCTTTCACAGTGTTTCTCCCTTATCCAATGTACAGACATTTCAAACCCCAAATTCAGTATCACCAAACCACTCCTTGGTATTTTATTTTGCTGTTATTCTTTTCATACTTATTGCTCTATGGGCCTTAATCTTCTGTGTAAATTCTAAATTCAATAAATGGTGTCACTTTATACCTGGTCAGTCCAGGCATACATTTAGTTTGATTTCATCCTAGAAGAAATCTGCTATTTACCTGTGAAAGAGAAACACTATTCTCACTTCTCTATACATTATATAGCATCAGTCTATCTGCAGCTGCTCTGTGTTTTGTATTCAATCCCACTATATATATAGTAATCACACTGCTCTGTATAGTATGTATTTTGCTAATAGCATTGTCACCCCTGATTGAATCATATTGAGTCACTCGTGGCTGACTACAATAACAACACCTTGCATTTACATTGCAACCTTCACGTAGGGTAAACTTCCAGAGCGCTTGACAGTGGCAGAGTCTGATGCCAAGCCAGTAGGAGAAGGAGTGGATGGTGATGGTAAGCCCAATCAAAAAAGGTCATTAAGTGGGATTTGAAGGTGTGAAGGGAAGGAGCAAGGCAGGGTGATTGAGGGAGAGAGTTCCAGAGTTTCGGGGCGTAGTGGCTGAAGACACGGCCACCGATGGTGGAGAGGATGGGGGATAAATAGGAGGCTGGAGCCAGTCGAGCGGAGGCAGTGGGTGGTGGAGTGGGCGGTAATCCGATTGGATAGGTAGGGAGATGCAAGGGCATGAAGGGTTTCGAAAGCAAGTGAGAAGATCTTGAAATCAATCTGCTTGGTAAATGGGAGCCAGTAGTGCTTGGCAAGCACTTGTGTGATGGGGGGAAGGATTTTTGTGTGTTTGAGTGTCCGGGTGGCAGAGTTTGGGATTAATTGGATTTTGCGTATTGTGGAGTTGGGGAGCCAGCGAGGAGGGCTTTAGAGTAATCCAGCCGGGAAGTGACGAAGGTGTAGACAAGGTTTTGGCTGCTTTTGTTGTGAGGTACGGACGGAGGCAGGCAATGTGGCAGAGGTAGAAAAAAGTGGTCCTGGTCAAGGAACAGATGTGTGGTAAGGAATAAAATGGATCCGAGGATGAAACCTGGGGTATCCCGCAGGTGACCAGGTGGAAGTGGGAGGAAAAAATATTTGCTGAGATGTATTAAGTAGGACTCAAACCATTCGAGTGTAGTCCCACTAAGGTGGGGCGAGGTGGTGGAGGAAGATGGCGTGATCAACTGTGTCAAATGCAGTGGAGAGATCCAGGAGAATGAAGAGGCAGAGGGAGAGAGAGGAGGACACACAGAGAGAGAGGACGTCATTTGTTACTTTGACGAGCGCTGTCTCTGTGCTGTGGACAGAGCAAAAACCAGCCTGGAGGGGTTCGAGTAGGGAGTGGAAGGAAAGGTGTGAATGAAGTTGATTGCAATAACAGTTCCAACACTTTGGCCAGGAAGGGCAGGTTTTGCTGGATCTGAAGTTTGTGAGGTTGGAGGGATCAAGGTGTTTTTTAAGGAGAGGATGATGACAGTGGTTTTCATTGGGAGTGGGACAGAGCCTGAGGAGAGAGACTGGTTGATTATGTCAGCCAGCAGCGGGCAGAGGAAGGGGAGTTGAGCAAGGTCTCTTCTCTGGCCGCTCCGACCTCACCGCTCACTTGCTCGTAGCTGACCCATGGCACCACCAAGCGCATTCAGTACACTTCTCCTTTGGTTTCACTAGGGACTAAAAGGATGACTGAAGGCTATGGTCAAAGTGAGACGGCTTGAAACGAGCCTGGTCTGTGATCTCAAGTCAGGACTTGAGCTCATAGTCTAGGCTGACATTGCGTAAAAACATGGCTGTAGCATTGGAGATTTGCCAGTTCGTCGAGTAATGTTAAAGAAGTTATGGCACTATTCAAAAAGAGAAACGAGTTTCCCTGTGTGCTGGTCAACAAACATCCAGATAAATTGGTCATTTATCTCATAGTTAATTGTGGGAGCTTGTTGTGTGCAAGATGGCTGGTGCATTTGTCAATAATGAAGTGGTCTGTACACTTGATGGTAATTACCTGTGAAATGTTGGCTGAGACATTGTCTTGAGTTCAATCATTGCTTTGGCAGGCACTGAGCTTGGATCCGGGCAAAAGGATCTCAGATATCTGCACTAATGCTGATGTCATGCCACGTGGACTTAGAGACTGCCTGCTGGAGTTGGCAGAGATATGAGGTAAATGCAGTGTAAGAGACTGATCTTGCTTCTTCCTCTTCACTTTCTCTAGCCTCAAGCGATAAGGTCAATGTGGGAAGGCAACTTGCAGAAGATGGGTTTCCTGAGTCTCCTTGTCGTTGCAATGTTGTTCGAACTATCGAGCACTGCCAAGGGTAAGTTCAACCTAACACCCAGCCAGTATCAGACTCAGCCATAATCCTATTCCCCCTCCCTGCCTCCCCTACCCCCCTCCCTCATACACAGACACACACACACAGTCAAATAGCTCATCTTCATTTCTTTTTGACCAATCATGGGAAGAATGGCCATTTGGTTAAAGTTTCTAGAGGATAACATGTGCCAGTGGAACCATGCCCTAGGAGAGGGGAGGGAGAAGATGAGAGATTGGAGAAGCAATTTACCAATCCACTATAAATTGAGATGATCCATACATAGTAAATGGCAGGCAATGTGCAATATGCCCATGGTATACTCAAAGTGGCAGTGGGAAGGCATGCTCAACATCAAATGGACCCCTTACTCTCTGCGCCAAAAAGCCCACAAGTCCTCTCCACGTATAGGAAAGTGAGTGGAATAGGATCTTGGACCCAGGAGAAGCCATCATCTTTAGACTGGGGAAGAGGGAATTGCACAATCCATTAACATTGTGAAAAAGGTAAATAAACAAATAGCCTGGCTCACTCCTACTGCTTTAACTGCAACTGTTTCCTGCAGCAGATTATAAATACAAACCTCTGTGCTTAGGGAGAGGTGTAGGAAACTGCTCTGTAAACACTCACCACAAACATGGACTTCTGCATTTTATTTACAGGATGTATTTGCTGGGTTGAAAAGCAATAAGTTTAATAAGCAGTAGCTCCATAGTGATTTCTTAATCAGCAGCTCTCTATCTCTTGGTCTCAGACTATCATTGTTTTGTTCTCTTTTCGCCTGCAAAATACACAGTCGATCCTCTTTACAATACATCCTGTGAAGCACCTTGAGACATCTCACCAACATAAGAACATAAGAAATAGGAGCAGGAGTAGGCCATTTGGCCCCTCCAGCCTGCCCTGCTATTTAATAAGTTCATGGCTGATGTTCTAACCTAATTCCATTTACCCGCCTTAATCCCTTTAGTTTTTAAAAATCCATCAATCTCAATCTTGAATATGTTCAATAACTGAGCATCCATAGCCTTCTGGGGTAGAGAATTCCATAAATTCACTACTTTCTGAGTGAAGAAATGTTTTCTCAACTCCGTTCTAAAGGGCTAACATTTTTATTCCTGAGACTATGACCCCTAATTTTGGATTCTGCAAACAGGGGAAACAGTCTCACACTATCTACCCTGTCAAGACCCTTAAGAATCTTATAGGTTTCTATAAGATCACCTCTAATTCTTCTACATTCTAGAGAATATAGGCCTAGTCTACTCAACCTCTCCTCGTAGGTCAACTCCCTCATTCCAGGAACCAACCTAGTGAACCTAAGGCGAGTATATCCTTTCTTAGATAAGGGAACCCAAATTGCACACAATATTCCAGGTGCGGTCTCACCAAGGCCCTATACAATTGCAGTAAGACTTCCCTACTCTTGTACTCTGATCACTTTGGAACAAATGCTAACATGTTATTAGCAAGCTTGCTGTACCTGCATACTAAGTTTCTGTGATTGGTGTACAAGGACACCTAAATCCTTCTGAATACTAACACTATCTAGTCTCTCCCCCTCTAGAAAATAATCTGCTTTTCTATTTTTTCTACCTAGGTGAATAACTTTACACTTCCCCATATTATACTGCCACCTTTTTGCCCACTCACTTAACTTGTCCATAACCCTTTGCATCCTCCTTGTGTCCTCCTCACAGCTTACTTTCCCACCTAGCTTTATATCATCCGCGAATTTAGATACATTAAGCTCTATTTCCTCATCTAAATCATTGATGTAGAATGTAAACAGTTAAGGCCCAAGCACTGATCCTTACGGCACTCCACTAGTCACAACCTGCCAATCTGAGAAGGACCCGTTTATCCCTACTCTCTGTTTTCTGCCTGTTAAACATTCTTCGATCCATGCTAATATATTACCCTTAATTCCATGAGCCCTAATCTTATGTAACAATCTTTTATGTGGCACCTTGTCGAATGCCTTCTGAAAATTTAAGTACACTACACTGTTGCCCCCTATCTAACCTGCTAGTTACATCTTCAAAAAATTCTAAAAGGTTTGTTATACACAATTTCCCTTTCATAAAACTGTGTTGATTCTGCCTAATCATATTATGACTTTCTGAGTGCCCCACAACGACGTCCCTAATTATAGACTCTAGAATTTTCCCTACCACTGATGTCAGGCTAATTGGTCTATAGTTCGCCATTTTTTCTCTCCCACCCTTCTTAAATAGCGGTTTTACGTTTGTGATCAAAAACAATGCATCCACTATTTCTGCAGCCACCTCCTTTAAAACCCTAGGATGCAGGCCATCAGGTCCAGGGGATTTATCAGTTTTTGGTCCTATCAATTTCTCCAGTACTATTACTTTACTGACATTAATTTCTTTAAATTCCTCATTAACATTAGTCTCTTGGTTCCCCACTATTTCTGGTAAGTTTTTAATATCTTCCAACGTGAAGACAGAAGCAAAGTATTTGTTTAGTGACTCTGCCATTTCTTTATTCCCCATTATAATTTCTTCTGTCTCTGCCTCTAAGGGACCCACATTTACTTTTGTTAATCTCTTCCTCTTTATATACTTGTAAAAACACTTACAATCTGTCTTTATATCTCTAGTTTACTCTCATATTCAATTTTCTCCCTCTTAATCAGTTTCTTGGTTATCCTTTGCTGATCTCTAAAACCCTCCCAATCCTCAGGTTTACAGCTCTTTCGGCAATATTATAGGCCTCTTTTAATTTTATACTTTCCTTAACTTCTCTTTATAGAGAATTTTTATTTCTCAAGGGACTATGCGTTCGCTTGGAATTATCTAATATATCTTTGAAAGTTTGCCATTGCTTGTGTACCGTCATATCTTAATCTACTTTCCCAGTCTATTTTAGCCAAATCATCCCTCATACCTGCAGAGTTGGCTTTATTTAAGTTTAAGACCCTTGATTCAGACTTAACTACAACACTCTCAAACTTAATAGTAAATTCCATCATATTATGGTCACTATGCCCTAGAGGAGCCTTAACTTCAAGATTACTGATTAGCCCTGCTTCGTTACACAATACAAGATCTAGGATAGCCTGTTCACTGGTTGATTCCTCAGCATAATGTTCTAGAAAACTATCACTAATGCATTCCATAAACTCATCCTCTAATTTACTTTTGCCAATTTGGTTTTCCCAGCCTATATGAAGATTAAAATCACCCACTATTATTGCAATGACATGATAAGGCATTATATCAAATGCAAGGAATATTATTTTTTTAACTTCACTGACTCAAGCAACATTTGGCTACAAACTCACTGTCTTGTGCATACTTCTGCTGCTATCTCACTCTCTTGCTGACGTTGTCCATCACACTCCCTCACATACACTGTCTCCCCCTTGTTCATATCTCTTTCCCTTACTCTGACTCATACATATTCACTCTCTCCCAGGGTTGTTTCATAATCTTATTTAAATATTTTAATTTATACGAGAACAAGATGGGTTTAATTCTCAGTCTGTGTTGAGGTATCTGATCTCAGCCGTAGTACCTAGAAGCTAAAAGCTCTCGTCTAGAAAGGAGAAAGCAACCATGGATCCCACTCCTAATTGCTATTATGAGCCTTGTGTACAGTATATGAAGACAAGATGTAGCTCAGCTGTGATGTCTAAAAGGAGGTTGGTTCTTTTGTACAGGAAGCCAAGTGTCATAGACACCACCATTCACCTACAAAATATACAGTCACCGCACAATAAATGCAGTAAATAAATGCAAATCTCCTTTGATACTGGTTTCAGCCAATGCCACAGTATCAGAGGAGAGGGTAGAGAAGTTGGATAAGATAAGAATAAACCAAGAGAAGGTTGTCAGTGCTCAAGGTAAATAAGTCACCCAGACCAGGCGGGATGCATCCTAGGTTACTGAGGGAAGTAAGGATGGGAATAATGGAGGCTCTAGCCACAATCTTTCAATCCTCCTTGGACACCAGGGTGGTGCCAGAGAACTGGAGGGTTGCAAATGTTACTCCCCTGTAGAAAAAGGGGCAGAAAGATAAACCCGGGAACTACAGGCCAGTCAGCCTAATGTCAGTAGTGAGGAAACTTTTAGAGACTATAATCCGGCACAAAATAAATTTTCACTTAGAAAAATATGAGTTAATAAAGGACAGTCAACATGGATTTGTTAAAGGCAAATCATGTCCAACAAACTTGATAGAGTTTTTATATGAAGTAATGGAGAGGGTGGATGAAGGTAGTGCAGTTGATGTCGTCTATATGGATTTTCAAAAGGCGTTTGATAAAGTGCCACATAAGAGACTTGTAAGCAAAATAGAAACCCACGGTATTAAAGGGACAGTGGCAGCATGGACACAGAACTGGCTGGGAGACAGAAAGCAGAGAGTGGTGGTGACTGGTGTGCAGTGGGGTCCCCCAGGGGTCAGTATTGGGACCACTGCTGTTTTTGATCTATATAAATGACCTGGACTTGGGTATAGGGAGAACAATTTCCAAGTTTGCAGATGATACTAAGCTAGGAAAAGTAGTAAACAGTGAGGAGGATAGTAGCAGACTGCAAATGGACATAGACAGACTGGTAACATGGGCAGACACGTGGCAGATGAAGTTTAATGTGGAGAAATGTGAAGTGATGCACTTTGGAAGGAAGAATGAGGAGAGACAATATAAGCTGATGGTACAGTGGTACAGTCTTAAAGGAGGTGAAGTAACAGAGAGACCTGGGGGTTCATATAAGTAAATCTTTGAAGGTGGCAGAACAGGTAGATAAAACTGTTTAAAGAAAGCATACGGGATACTAGGCTTTATAAATAACAGCAGAGAATACAAAAGTCAAGAAGTTATACAAACCTTTATAAAACACTGACATTGAAGAGGATGCAAAGGAGATTTACCAGGATGGTACCAGGAATGAGGGACTTCAGTTATCGGGAGAGGCGAGAGAAGCTGGGATTATTCTGCTTGGAGCAGAGAAGGTTAAGAGGAGACTTAATAGACC